CACACACACACACACCTTCAGAGTGGGTTTTAATTACCTGCCGATATCTGTCTCATAAACACTAACACCCATTATGATAATTCCACCCATTCAAAGATGTTTAATTAAAAGGAAATGATTAGGACCCCTTGGCTGTTTTATTTCCATTAACTGTCTTGTATGTCAATATCAAGCACCCCCTGCGGAGCGCTGATAACGCGCGCGGGGTGAACGATAACGCATCAGACAACGGCACCTATTCACTCCTATCGCGCGACAACCTCCGCCACGCGTGGAGTCCTGAGTGAAAACCGATCTGTGGAAAATTGGGGAGGAAATAGCCTTCCCGGGATCAGCGTGGCCGTATAGAATTACGGTGGAGGCCCCTCCCCCTGTCTGGCTCGCTCTTTTTTCTCAACCTCTCGGTTGGCTTTCCGAGAGGGCTTGATCCTGCTCACGCTCAGAGCGCTGAGAAATAGCAGGCAGAAGATGGCTGACTCTACCGGGCACGGTGAGCCCGCAGCAGCATCAACTTCACTGGGGCTTCTCATGTGCCTGCCATTCGCTGCCACTCCGCAACTCTGAACCGGCCCCGCCACGTTCCGTGCCGTGCGCCCGCGGGGTTATACCCCCAAATATTGACAGAGATTTAAAGAAAACATGGCTGAGATGGAGAAAGAGGGAAGACCTCCGGAAAACAAGAGGAGCAGAAAGCCAGCTCACCCCGTGAAGAGGGAAATTAACGCAGAGATGAAGGTAGGTTGTGCGTGCGCTCTCTCTCACTGGCGCCCATAAAGGCTTGTCATTTTTGGATGCGTTGAGCGCACCGCCGCTCCGCCCTCGGATTGAATATAGAGAACCGATTCATTCAAGCGCTGTGTGTTTGGGGTTAATCAGCTAACTTTGATTTTTTTTTCTTTTCTGGGTTGCAGAACAGGTCGGCATTATTTTCCTCCCGTTTCTTTTTTGAGCTTAATTCACACACCTTCCAAACCACTCTAGTCTTGCTTTCCATTGCTTGCGATGATCTATTTTGTTTATATTGCATTATGGATTTTCTTTAAACACATTTGCATGTGCTTTTCTATGTCATGTGCGCGTAAAGTATAAAATGTCCACAGTCACATCACGAGAAGGTTTAGAATGAAATCCCCTTGCTGGCTCCACTGTAGTTGATGGAAAATCCAGTGCGTCAGACTCCGCGTCAAACTGCTGCGTTACTACTACTACTAGCGCGTTACTATCACTCTGCTAAACAACACCAAAGCATGAGAACAGAGTATAACTCAATAATGAAATAGAAAACATGTTGGAAGGGTGCAGCTGTTCTGATGGGAAGCGCTGGTCACTCCAGATGTTCATCTGTTCAACACTGACTGAGCTCTGTCTGCTCGTGACAAATGCACATTTAAAAAGCCTTTTGGGGTATTTGGTATATGCAATCATAGCTTGGTTCATTCAAGAACTTGGAGATTCTTTCACTTTTTTGTTCTGTTTGAGCAGAGCCGTGCGTTAGTATGTTTTGAAGGCGCACACAGGCGCTTTGTCTCCTGGTTTTGTGGTGCTCATTGTCTGAAGCGTTTGCATCAGCTGCCATGCAGCCTAATGTTTTGGAAACGCCAGAATTTATCTGTGCTCTTTATCTGATCAAGCTACATTCATTCTGAAAGCACCATCGTGGTATACAGGGACGCATTTAATTAGTGTTAGTAATAATTTGATAACGTGTTTCGGTCACTGTAAACGCGTGTGTGGCTTTGGTGAATTTGCTCCGTTCGCTTTCTTTCTTGTCGGTGATTATTTGACGGAACCTGCGCGAGGCTCTCCGGTCCGCCGGGGCTCTAAATTGGACAGATATTGATCGACCTGTAGCGGAGATACACGCGTGCGTCTCCCCGGTCTCCTTAAACGCCACCGATCTTTCCGTTTGACTCACTCACACACACACACACACACACATACAAGAGAGGGATGCAATGCTGCCCTTAGAAACTGACTTATTCTGGAGCTGTTACGCGTGAGATGTGAATTATTGGGGGTTTGAGGGGCCAGAAACCTCTTAATTAGTCAGTCATTGTTTAAAAATAATGTGTCAGTTGTTATGTTAGTTATGTTTAGAATTATTTATTTACGAGTATTAAACATTTTTGAATTATGAATCTTGAAGTTTCATTCAGATTTGACTTCATCTAACCTTGCATTTTCATTAAAAAAATCATCAGGGTCTATAGACTATAGAGGTCCTCACTGTGATATCATTTCCTGTTTATGTAAAATGAGAACAAAACAGCTGCATGCATGTTGGTTACATCACTGACTTTGACTTGGCTTACAATTTTTTTTAATTAATACTTAATTCAAATAAAATGACTACTGTTTTTATAAAAAATAATTTAAAAAGAATGAAAAATTAGTTTCAAGAATGTCAGCCTTTTAATGACACCTTTTTCTTTTTTGCAGTCTCCTGATCATTACACCACTTAGATGTTTTTGAATATCAAATTTTAATTTTAATTTGAAAAACATTTTCATCATCATCATCAAGTTATTTATTATCTGTGTGAATATTACTTGCAAATGTAATTAATTGTAAAAAATGTAAAATGTAATAGATTTGGACAAAAAGAAAAAAAAAAACGTTGGTCCGTGAATAAGATTTATTTTTATTTTATTAAAAAAAATTTTTTTTTGAGTGTTGAGGAGGTTTGCTGTTTCAATGAACTGAATTGAAAATACATTGCTGCCTATGTAACATGTTTACATTGTCTTTCACACGGCTGACCTTTCATTTAATAAGGAATCAATTTTTGTACAGTCAGTTTTTGTCAGAAAGGGATTGGAACAAATACCTTGCTTCTGAAATGGTGTGAATCTTCCATTTGCTGAAATCATTTTTGCTTGCAAAGCTAAATTTGATATGCGGTGTAGAGTAACCAGAGGAGGGTTTAGAGCAAGGGTCTGTTTGAGGGGTCTGAGATACATGCGCAAACAGGTGTCGGTAGCAGAGTGAAAATCACAGCAAGGTTGAATACTTCCATCCCAGCTGTATTATCAAATGCGTCTGCCGGCTTTCACTCACTTTTCATTCTTAAACTCCGTGAGTTCATGCTTTCCACTGTGAGCAAAACTGTCACTAGTACCCTTTCAATAGGTCCTAATAGGTTCATTTTAGATACTAATATGTACCTTTAAGCTACTAATATGTACCATTTAAGAGTAAATAAGGTACCTATTAGTGACAGATTTGTACCTTTTTTTCCTGAAAGTATGTATAAATTTAGGAAGTCCAATTGCTTGTTCTTTAAAGGTGAAGGACAATTCTTTTCTCACAGTCACTTCCTGTTTGAGGGTCTGTACCTATGTAAAAAAACTCCCAACATGCAGAAACAAAGCATACTGTAACACATAAAGAGCGTGTGTGTATAAATACAATCTGCATTTTACTCTGCACTTCTCTCTTATTGCCTCAGAGAGAACTTGAGACCTGAGCATTATGAATTTCTCCCTCTCACGTATCAGATTTCCACCAACACACACACACACACACCCAGCCTATGAGGAGTCCCTCGCTTTGGTGCTGTTTAAAACAAATCTTTGTTTAATTTTGCTCTTACTTACAAGAAATGAGACAAAGGAAAAATGGCAAAAAGAAAGAACCAGAGAGATGCGGTAAATTGTACACAATGTGGCCTTGTGGAGGATTATACCTCTGAGAGAGATACACAGAAGAGACGTCTGACAGTGTTGTCTTCATCTCCGTCTGCTTTCATGTGTAGCATGGTAAAATAAGCCCCGTGCTGGTGATTGCCCCGACGGAGAGGGGGGTGAGAGAGAGGGAGAGGAGAAAGGAATGTATACAGCAATAGGCAGCCTAAGCTGTAAAAACTGAAAGCTGAGAATACAGGCCGGATCGGATATCAAGGAAGGTAGATGGAAATGAAAGCAGAGCATAGTGGTGGTAGTGGGGGGAGAAAGAAAGAGAGAGTATGGAAGAGAGAAAAAGAAAGTGATATTCAGTATGAGAGAGGGACAAGTGAAAAAAGCAAGAAGGGAATGGAAAAGTGTGGGTTGGGAGGAGAGGAGAGAGAGAGAGAGCGAGCGAGATGAGGAAAGAGCAGTTGGTCATGTTGAAGGGAGGAGGGAATTTTATCATGGTGTACAGTGACCTACTCTTGTTACCATGCGCAGGGTGTCCGATTCCCCCCGCCGTCACAATCACGGCGAGCAGAGAGGGAATGAGATTTGCTGCTTCGTATCTTGTAACTTTTCTCACTGATTTTTCAGTCTAGCATGAAAAGCATTCTCTCTAAAAATTACCGATTTCATTTAGTCTCTATAAGGGAGGAAGCACAGTATTTTTCTCTCTCTATCTGTTTTTTTTGGGGGGTTTTATCAGAGCGTGTGTAATTACTGGGCGGCCTTCAGAGGGGAGGAGTGCAGGGAATTTCAGATTGCAATTATGTGTATGGAGTAACATTTAGTGCAGAATCCAGAGCCTTTGACAGAACTCAAGCTGATCTGCAGCACTAAAGACTAACTCACAGCAGTGATGCACATGAGGATGTATGTTTCAAACTGTCAGTTTTCCTCTGTGCTTTGTAACAGTGTTTTCTAAACTTGTTTTGTAATGGTTGCATGTGCATGCAGTTTGATCGGATAAAATAAAAAAACACATTCATTATAGTAAAGGATAGAACAGATTAGTGTTAAACCTTTTATTTCACTTTAATAGCTTTTTCTCCATTTTTAAAAGTGTTTAAATCGGAGATGCCTAAACTAGGGCCTGCAAGCTAAAGTTGTCCCATGATGACCTTTGAATTGGCCTGCCATGCAATATCAGGAAAAAATAAGGGGGGAAAAACATGAAGCTTGTTCATTTCATTATAATTTTTTTAAACATTCTTTGTTTTATTTTTAAATATAAACAACAATATAAACAATTTGTATAAAATAATTTGCAAAAATATATATAATTTAATACATTTTTAATATAATATAGTTAAAAATAATACAACATTTACTTTTGGCCCCTCAATCAAGTTAGATTTTTTGCCCTTTATATTTAAAAGTTTGAGCACTGGGCACCCTGTTTTTAATGAGAATATTTTCCTCCCGTTTGACAATAATTTTAACTCCCTTTCTATAATAAATGTATAAAAATAGTTAAAATAAATTTGTATTTTTTAATAATAAAGAATCATTGTCCCCAAGCCAAATGTGACCTTACCTTTGACCCTGTGCTGAGTATGTGTGACCCCTTGTTAACACTGTAAGTCAGGTGAGCACTCTTGAGGAACTGTTGAACCCCTCTAAACTCAGCTCAGCTGGTGTTCCCAGACAATCAGAACTCTAGAAGTGCCCAAAAACTCCTCAGAGCGGAGCTCAGGTGATTCTAGATTGAGGCGTGATGTGCTGATACAGTCTAGTGGGGTTTCCTGTGGACAGGGTGTGATTACTGCATTGTGACTGACCTTGTGAACTCAATCCTAAAACAGACGCCTCACCTTACAGACCAGAGGCAGGACAGACACCTGGTGGCCATACAGCAGAAGTGCAGGGAAGGAGTGGAGAAGGGCTGTTCATCAGTTTGTACTGTAAATTGTACATGTGTGCTTTTAAATATATTGCACAACGATCCAATAGCTATGAAACATTATATTCAATTATAAAATACGATATTACATTAGAGTGAATCCCTCATTTAGCCTTTTTAGATTACATGTCTGTGTGTGTTCATAAAAGCAGTGCTAGTGTACTCTGGTGAGTAAATACAAACCACATTAACTGAGTATGTATATATCGCAAAACACCTAACAACAGTATGCTGCTTGATAGTTAATGCGATTGACTGACAGTTTCTGTGTTTGATTGACAGTTGTTGACTCGTGTCTCATCAGGTCCCATCCAATCGGCCCCTCCCAGGGGCGGGGCAGGCAGGCAATCTCCATGGCAACTCGCCCTACTTGATGGTGAGAGCCTCCCTCAGACTGATTAAAACAGAAAAAAAGTGACAAAAATAAAAAATACATACAGAAATAAATATCTGAATGTTTAGATGCTCCCTTATGTCTTATGAACCCATTTTAAAACAGGTGGGAAAAATAATTAATCATAATTTAAAGGGATAGTTCACCCAAAAAAGAAAATTCTGTCATTAATTACTCGCCCTCATGTCGTTTCAAACCCGTAAGACCTTCGTTCATCTTCAAAACACAAATTAAGATATTTTTGATGGAATCTGAGAGCTGTCTGACCCTGCATAGACAGCAACGCAACTGAAATGTTCCCAAGCCCAGAGACGTAGCAAGGAGATCTGTAAAATAATCCATGTGACATCAGGGGTTCAACCGTGATTTTACAAAGCTACGAGAATACTTTTTGTGTGCAAAAGAAAAAAAAAAGACTTTATTCAACAATTCGTCCCCTGTAGCGCCATTTTGCAGAGTAACAGCTGGACGTAAACAGCGTATGCTGTTCTGTGTCAGCTGCGTCACGCCGGATCTGTTTCCCAAAAACTCCTCAGAGCGGAGCTCAGGTGATTCTAGATTGAGGCGTGATGTGCTGATACAGTCTAGTGGGGTTTCCTGTGGACAGGGTGTGATTACTGCATTGTGACTGACCTTGTGAACTCAATCCTAAAACAGACGCCTCACCTTACAGACCAGAGGCAGGACAGACACCTGGTGGCCATACAGCAGAAGTGCAGGGAAGGAGTGGAGAAGGGCTGTTCATCAGTTTGTACTGTAAATTGTACATGTGTGCTTTTAAATATATTGCACAACGATCCAATAGCTATGAAACATTATATTCAATTATAAAATACGATATTACATTAGAGTGAATCCCTCATTTAGCCTTTTTAGATTACATGTCTGTGTGTGTTCATAAAAGCAGTGCTAGTGTACTCTGGTGAGTAAATACAAACCACATTAACTGAGTATGTATATATCGCAAAACACCTAACAACAGTATGCTGCTTGATAGTTAATGCGATTGACTGACAGTTTCTGTGTTTGATTGACAGTTGTTGACTCGTGTCTCATCAGGTCCCATCCAATCGGCCCCTCCCAGGGGCGGGGCAGGCAGGCAATCTCCATGGCAACTCGCCCTACTTGATGGTGAGAGCCTCCCTCAGACTGATTAAAACAGAAAAAAAGTGACAAAAATAAAAAATACATACAGAAATAAATATCTGAATGTTTAGATGCTCCCTTATGTCTTATGAACCCATTTTAAAACAGGTGGGAAAAATAATTAATCATAATTTAAAGGGATAGTTCACCCAAAAAAGAAAATTCTGTCATTAATTACTCGCCCTCATGTCGTTTCAAACCCGTAAGACCTTCGTTCATCTTCAAAACACAAATTAAGATATTTTTGATGGAATCTGAGAGCTGTCTGACCCTCCCATAGACAACAACGCAACTGAAATGTTCCCAAGTCCAGAAAGGTAGCTTCGTAGAAATGTAGGGAGATCTGTAAAATAATTCATGTGACATCAGGGGTTCAACCGTAACTATACGAAGCTACGAGAATACTTTTTGTGCGCAAAGAAAAAAAAAAGACTTTATTCAACAATTCGTCCCCTGTAGCGCCATTTTGCAGAGTAACAGCTGGACGTAAACAGCGTATGCTGTTCTGTGTCAGCTGCGTCACGCCGGATCTGTTTCCTATGTTGTTGTGATTTGATCTGAACGGAAACATCGTATCCGTGTGATGCAGCTGACACAGAACAGCACTGTTTACGGCCTGCTGATACTCTCCAAAATGGCACCAGGGTGATGCGGAGGAGACGAATTGTTGAATAAAGTCTTTTTTTTTCTTTTGCGCACAAAAAGTATTCTCGTAGCTTCGTATAGTTACGGTTGAACCCCTGATGTCACATGAATTATTTTACAGATCTCCCTACATTTCTACGAAGCTACCTTTCTGGACTTGGGAACATTTCAGTTGCGTTGTTGTCTATGGGAGGGTCAGACAGCTCTCAGATTCCATCAAAAATATCTTAATTTGTGTTCTGAAGATGAACGAAGGTCTTACGGGTTTGAAACGACATGAGGGTGAGTAATTAATGACAGAATTTTCATTTTTGGGTGAACTAACCCTTTAATATTTATGTATTAAAAAATTTTTGAATTAATGTAACTTATTTTTTATTTAAATTTATATATTCAATATCATTTTATAATATAATTTGATTTATACTTAATCTATATATTAAACTGTGCTATATGACAAGTATAACTACTCTTTTGAGGTAATGTTTAAATATTAGTCAGCAGATGCAGGGTAAATGGGTATTAAAATCTCAAAGTATATATATGTTTTTTGTCTAGTAGGTTAAAGCTGCATGGATTCTGCTGTGGTCCGGTCAGCTCTGATTTGTTAATAATGCTTCTTCCTCTTCTATTCTCCGGTTGTCTGGCTTAGTATTGTTTGCTTAGTTAGATGTTTGTTTGATGCCCTGGGCAGTCTATAGCCTCTCCAGACTTCTTTCTTAAAGGGATATGGAGCTGAAACATTTGAAGCTATTTTCAGTCAGATTTGGTCTATCGGTGAGCTAGTGGATTTCTTGGATTAAACTACTTTTGGCCTTGGTTCACAGTAGCCATGCAAACATAAGATTCCCTGTGGAGATTTTGTTTATCTGCATTGCAAAATCTGCCACTCAAAGGTTTTTACATCGATTGTCTCAGCGCAGTACACCTCCCAAACAGACTGCAATTATTCACTCTTTCAGATTCCCTCTCTCTCTCTGTGTGTGTGTGTAGGCCTTTTCTGTAAGAACGCATTATGAAATGAATAATTCTGTAATCAAAAAATAGGTTTTAGTGAATTTAGCTGATACGTGAGCATTGTCTGTTGATTCCTTACAACTTACAATAAAAAACAACTTCTAAAAAATAAAGTTGCATTTTAAATTGTTCTCTCTTTTGCTCTCTCTCTGTAGAGTTTTGCTGAAAACACCATGAATGAGTTGCTTGGATGGTACGGATATGACAAAGTGGAGTTACGAGACTCAGATGACATAGAGATCCGCAACTACCCTGACGGAGAAATGCGGCAACACATCTCTGTCCTGAAAGGTGAGATCTGACACTAATACAGAAGTCAAAAGTGACAGTAAGGACATTTATAATGTTACAGATGATTTCTTTTTGAAACAAATGCTGTTCTTTTTCATTTTCTATCCATTAAAATAATCCTAAAAAATGTAGCATGGTTTCCACAAAAATATTAAGCATCACAAAAGTTTTCAACATTGATATTAATAGGTAGTATTTCTTGAGCACCAAAACAGCATATTAGAATGATCTTATTTCTGAAGGATCATGTGGCATTGAAGAGTGCTTAAAAATTCAGCTTTGCCATCATTAATCATTAAAATATTTAATAATTAATTATTAAAATATATTAAAATAGAAAACAGTTATTTTAAATTGTAATAATGTTTCACAGTATTTCCGTTTTTACTGTATTTTTGATCAAATAAATGCAGACCCCAAACTTTTGAGCGATAGTGTAATTTTGATTAGCTTTCGAGACAAGATTATTTGGGTACCTGAACTCTCTTATTTCTCTGCAACCCAGAGCTCTGCTCACACTTACAATTTAAATTCAGAGACAGTTTCAGTATCTAACTATACCTTCTGGACCCTCTGAACACTTGACACTAATATGCATAACTTGCATAATTTTTTTATCATCCCTTAATTCCCCATAGGTTCTTTGTAGCAGGTTAATTTCACAAACCTGTTTGCCACCAGAAAGAGCCTAGAGGGAATTCTGGCGCGGTAATAAGACACAAAATCCGAACAAGGACAGGAACGAAAACAAGGACTGTCAGATTTTAAATGTTGTTAAAAAGAGAATGCAATTCCTGAACTTCCTTCGTCGTTCCCCCAAGAGCACTCCGATAAACCCACAGCTTTATCTTTGCACCCTCCATGCTGTCTCCTGGCTGGCCTCTGTGCCAGAGCATTAGAGAGTCTTAAACTGTCAGCCATTTTTTCTGCGGCCCTGTGGGGACAGAGAAAGAGATGGCGAAACAATGAGCTGGCTAATTCCTTGCTAAGTCCATACTCCAGCCTCCATTAAAGAAAATTGTGATTTAGGCATTAGACTGTTCCCGGCTAGTGCCACATTTCTCCAACCTACCACGCCTGCCATGTGACACTCGCCGTAATTACTTTCTGCCGTCAGACAAATCCACAGCCGCAGATTACGATATTTCACTATTGTTAGTTGACGTTGCTGGAAGTGGAGAGATTAGGCGAAGGACAATCAGACTTAATTAACTCGTTTAGCAGTGATCGTCTCTAAACGAGCATGCGGTTAGAGTTACAAATGGGCTTTTCTGCTATCTACCAGTAATCTGTTTGGGTGCCCTTGTTGAATCTTGTCTTATTTGCTGCAGGTGGAGGTGTGTATGTGTAGTGTGGGAATGTCTTCTCTAGACTTTGTAAGAGCTATTTTAATCAGTTTTGTGTCATTTTACAAGACAAAACAGTGACGTGATGTGTGCGTTTGAGAGATTGCTAGAGTCTCAGGGCCCCACAGTTGTGAATGACTTATGAATTTTAAAAATAATACACCGATCCTGAAGAAAATATGTTCAGTTGTGTTTGAACAATTCCTAATGCAGTAAAAACTGAATACGCATACCGAGTCTCACAACCTATTTTACTTTCGTAATGTGGTATTTCCTAGTAAAACAGTACATTAATCAGGAAAAAGTACTACTACTACTACTACTAATAATAATAATATCACTTCTTGATTTTATCCATTATAAAATTATTGGATAGTGATAAGTGGGTGTTACATTATGAATCAGAATAGAGCCAGACCTGAATGTGAGATTGTTAAAACAGCGACCAAACAACTATATGTTTTTTATCAATGCAAAAAAAAAAGATTTCAGAGGAAGAGCAAGTTATTTTGATTAAAGTTTATGTTTTTTCTCTCATTAAATCCATTGAGAATGTAAACAGGTCAGTTATGATTTCATATTGACTACAATCGCCATGACAGTCAAACCCACCAATGACATTTCCCACAGCAAATATAGATCCCACAAACCTTATGTATTTCACACTGTGACTGATTTGTGAAACATAAACGACTTGCCATTACCTCTCTCCTCTCTAGAGAACTCTTTGCCAAAAGCATCCACAGTGGAGAACAGCAGTGGTTCTCCTCCACACGCCAACAGCTCTGGCTCTACTCCGACATCACGGAATGGAGTAATGGCTGAGGGGTCTGCAAATCCCTCCTCCTCTAAGGAGCACGGAGGCCTGCCAATCATAGTGCCCTTAATCCCGCCCCCTCTGATCAAAGCACCAGCAGGTAAGAAACACAAGCCGCACAAGCATGCATTTGAGTATCTAACTTACAAGCGCACATTTAACTGAACAAAATATATGTGTATTGTATTTATTCCTGATAGCTTACACAAACACATTTGTAATTCCAGGCTACATACTTCATCCGTCAAGTGTTGAGATTTCACACTGTAACTTTATGAACTGTGTGTTACTGTTCTTATTTGCATATTTATCAGACTGGTAACATGAATTTAATAATTGCTTGACCATTTGTAGTCACTGTAGGGTTAGGGTTCTTTTAAACCAAACAATGAAGCAGTACTCTCCCTTTGTCACTTTTAACGCAGTTGATATTTGAACCATTTCCCTCAGATGCTGAAGCTAAACTTGTGAAAGTTTCATTGAAACATTAGTGTTTATAATACCGCTTGAATTTATGCCACCGCTACTGAATCGCTAAGAGCTGAGACAAAAAAGCTGTGAATGTGAGTTTGCGGTCAAAATTAAATTTGAGATAAAAATCTGCCATATATTGCCATATGATTACAGCAACTGTCACTTTTAACGCAGTTGATATTTGAACCATTTCCCTCAGATGCTGAAGCTAAACTTGTGAAAGTTTCATTGAAACATTAGTGTTTATAATACCGCTTGAATCTATGCCACCGCTACTGAAGAGCTGAGACAAAAAAGCTGTGAATGTGAGTTTGCGGTCAAAATTAAATTTGAGATAAAAATCTGCCATATATTGCCATATGATTACAGCAAGAAAACACATATTGATATTTTTGTGCTGGTTGAGCACAAAACTAGTGCTTCACAAAAACTAAATGACTTGTGTATTCTGTGCACGCCGATTCACAAATAACTCTTATAATTCTTTAAATGAATCTTTCAAAAATACTTGGGCTGCATCTGAATATGTATACTTCCCAATAAAACAATATATGAAAAGAGAAGTATGTCCAAATTCATAGTACTCATAAAGCAAAAAAGTACCCCAAAGACCTACTACTTTTGGCAAGATTCCCATGAAGTCACAGGCGAGGATTTGTGAATCACAGTGAAGGTTACATGACAAAAGTAATGCAAAGTAATAACTTTTTTTAAAGTACCTACTCAGAGAAAATGAGATTTCAGACTTAGCCTATATTTACAGCTTGAATCAATCTGGCGAATCTTTCATTGATTAACTCACTGAATCATTCAGTCGTTACTTCAACATAACACTCACTTACAGAACCAAAAGTTATCATTACTCTCAGCGATGACTGTCTTGAAATAAAGCATATTTTGTGTACATAAGGTTTGTGAAACAAGCTTTAATAATTTTAGCTTTAATCAATTTAATAGTATACAGTATTTCAATATATTTAATATAAAAATGTCCTTAATCATAAATGTTGAGCTTGCATTTTGACACTGAGAGTCCACTCACATTGTTGTAGCGCAGCAGACCAAAGTCATGGTGTCTGATGGGACGGCACCATGGTGAGGTGCATCCCTAAACCAGTGTTCTGTGCGCTGGTGTGTTCGTGTGCATGGGTCTATGTATGTGTGCTTGTATTTATGTGTGCGTTAATGTGTGTGATGTGGTGAGAAACAGATGGTGTAGACTCGCTAACTACCACAGCAACAGAAGCCAACTCCCCCCTCCCTATCCCCGCCCCTAGCCTGTGGCCCTCTTGAATAATTCATGAGCATGCGCATAGTGACAGAGGGCTTTTGAAGTGCAGGTATGTACTGCTCTACCACCGGATGTTCCACAAACACACATACACACACTTGCACGATCCATCTTAAATTCAGGATTCGGATGGAGCAATGAGGCTGTGCTGAGGATAAACAAACAGAATTACCATGGCAACCGTTTTATATTCGAATGTTTGTATTTTGAGGGTTGTAGAGGAACACTTTGAGTCTTTGTTGCTCTGTATGATGCAGTTTGTTAGGCAAGCTCTTTTTATATCTTTATATACTTAATATTTTTATGTACTTTTTCCAGCCTGCTGAATCTAGTCATCTTTACAGGATGCAAGGCTGTTCTGTCTCTGCTCAAAATTAAGTGTAAAGACCCAATGCCACATGAAAAATGACTAAATTATGCATGCTCTGACCCACCTCAGCTCCTAGTATCAAAGTATAGAGTTGTAATTTAAGTGCAAATGCATGTGTCAGCTCTGAGCAGCATTAAACAGTCTGTGTAAAGACACCTAAATGCCACTTCTTTGCCACCTTTGTTGTGTAAACTAAGCATAAGTAAAAAAAAATAAATAAATATATATATATATATATATATATATATATTTTTTTTTTTTTACTTGAATGTGGTATGGTTTGAGAATAGTTCACACAAAAATACATATTTTATGATGTTTCAGTTCCAGGTTCCAGGTAAAAATGACTTTTTCTTTTGTGGAACACAAAAGGAGATATTTTGTAGAATGTCCTGGCAGCCCTTTTACCATACAATTAAGGTAAAAGGGGTGAGGATGACCATCAAGCTCAACCTAACCCTAACTTTTGAAAAAATTACTCTTTTTGTATTTGGTGGAAGAAAATAAATGAGTCTGGGATGACACAAGTGTACGTAAATTATCACAGAATTTTCATTTTTGAGTTTGCTGAAGTCTCAAATAGGTCTCCTCGTCCCCAGTTCATGCCATTGTTTAAGCTAATTAGGAAGCTTAACCAGATTGTACAAAACTATGCTTGATTTTGGGTTCTTTCCTCTGATCTCATCTGCTTGTTCTGATTAGTTTGATTTGATTGGTCAGAAGTGGATTTGATTATTGAAGTATGTTGTATGTTTAGCCTATGGAGACATGTTTAACATAATTCTGAATTGATTTCGATCTTAAAATATAACTTGCTCATTACAAAAGAGAGGAGAAACAGAGAGGGGGGTGTGAGAGGAAAGGTTAAGTCTAATGGCCAGACATTTTCTCTCCACACACTCAGATTTATCTGATCATTAAGCAGCTGCTAGAGGGTGAGAGTGTAAAAGATCTCTGAGAAGAAACCATTTGACATGGGCAGATGCATTAAAATGATCACATACTAAATTTGATGTAGGGAGTCCCATCTTACAAAATTCAACATTATGAAAACACTAAAAATGTTTTCTGCTTTCTGTTGTGGCAGTGTCAGTTGCATTTGAATCAATTGGCTCGGTGTGTGTCTTTGTGGCCCCTAGAAGCTCGCTCACCCCCATTCCCAAACACACTAACATATGCTCGCACTTCAAACACCCAAACCCGAACACTTGTGCCCGCAAGCTTCTAGTTGTTAGTGGAGCATGATGGGACAGATCTAATATCATGCGGCATGCGCTGTGATGTAGGCAGATTGACTGACGCACACACACAAGAAAAATACAAACGTATATAGTCTTGATGTGTGTGGGGTGATGCATGATGACAGGTTTCTCTTAACCCCTTTTGGGCTGGTGAGGGAAAGATTGTCTTTGGTGTACAAACACCCAGAGAATATGTGTTTGTGTATTGTATACTGTCTGTCTATAATATATTGGTGGTGGATGAATCAGTGTGGAAAAATAAATTGTTGAGAATATTATCTGGTATACGACATCTGGTATATGAGTATGAATTGCAAAGGCACTTTAGTCTATCCTTCTTGCTAATAACAATAAAAGAAAATAAAAGCAATGCTTGTATATGTGTGTTCACATATGTTTATGTACTTGAATTTATGGTAAATGTAGTCTCAGTAATATGAAGAAAAACAACAATGGTTTATTTTTCAAAAAGTTGACTGAATAGATCCTTCTACATTCTTTCTCTTTTTCTCTTTCTCAGAGGAGGACACCTCTAATGTTCAGATAATGTGTGCGTGGTGTCAGAAGGTGGGAGTGAAGCGTTATTCTCTCAGTATGGGCTCTGAACTGAAGAGTTTCTGTAGTGAGAAATGCTTCGCTGCCTGTCGCCGGGCCTACTTCAAACGCAACAAGGTAAATGCCCAGTCTCCGCCTCTTCCTGTCCCCTCAGCCAATCAGGCTCCTTCTGTCTGAAGTCACTTCTTCTGTTCTGCCCTAACCTTCATTGTTACTAAATTCTCTGGCTCAAAACTTTAAATGATTCTTACTCTGTTAGATAAGTTATTATAAGACATTTTTTTCTTAATTTTTTTTAAATACATTTCAGACAGAGACAGGTTTAAAAAGAAGCAGGTATATATAGTAACTCTTCAAGTCATTTCCCCATAAACAGCAGTCTATTTCTAGAGTCTTTATTAGGTTATTGTTGTGATCAACTTAAACAATTATACATTTTTAATTTTCATCCATTGTTGTTTGTACTTCACTGATATTTTTTGAACATGATCGGTTCACAGAGACAAGCTGATGGCATGAGTCATTTCTACTATGCAATACATTATAACTGGATAAAATATTAAACTCACTATTTTAAGGATGGGGTTAATGTTGGTTAGTTTTCTTTTAACATATACCACTTTACATCATTTTAGTTTTTTATACTATTCACATTATTTACAGAATATATATATATATTATTTTACTAAAATATGATAATTTAGGTAAAAATGGATTTCATGGCAGTGGATTAGATCATCTCTGAGATGTTTTGCGGCATTAGATGGTTTCTCTGTTTGATAATATTACAGAAATGATAAACTAACTCACTGAGCGATTACTAGCTTTTGCTCAATCCTTTAACTCTGTTTCCATCCTGTTTATTTTCTTGCAATTATGTAAATAATTGATTGTGCCTGAGATTTACCAGAGCATATCTCTGAAAGTCTATTAAAGAGATATTTCCTTAAAATACAATACAATTTGTTTTATTTTATTACAGCGCTCAAAAAGTACAGCACAGTACAGCATAACAGCAGTGAACCTCATTTAGATTTAGACCTCATGCCATCAGAGTGGGACAGATATTGATTGTGTGTTTTCTCTTCTATCTAAGCTTGGATATGTGAGGAATTGCAGTGTAAGTATCCTGTGTTTGGATTTCTCCTCTCCTCGTGTGTGTTAGAGACTCTCTTGCACACTTATTCACACACTGATGGAACTCATAATATCATGGACGCATGCAAACACACTCTTAGGCACATACACATGCATACAAAAGCACACACACTCGCATACACACAAATACACCATCACACATGCATTTGTTCACACACAAGAGTCTCACATGCATGCGTACACACTCCCACATGCATGCATGTTTGTTCACAGCCACCCCTTGCTTAGTGTGTGGTGTGTTTGAAGACAGAGTGGACAGCACGAACAGACCAACGAAACATGCAAACATGAGCTTTACTGGCGCTACCACACACACGCATATAAACCTAAATGCATACAGTAGTCTGTGTCACACACACAAAAAAATATGGATACACAAAACAGACGTTTGTATAAATCTCCTAAATTGTTGAGCAGTGTATGCTCAGGGGCAGAGTTCATATATCTGCATAAAATGTGTAAAAAAGACTGATTTTTTACACAAAGAAAGATTTTTTCTCTGCTGTAGAAATCATAGACCTTATCTATAAAAGGTTGTAACTTGTACAGGTCATAGATATATATTATTCACATAGCTGAATATAAAACATGGTTTTTATGGAACTAGAATAAAGAACAAGCATTTATATGTACATGTGCATATATATTTTGATACTGAAAATACCTACTTTTTAAAAGAAAGAAATTCAAGAAATAAATCAGTCAGAAAATGAAAGAGAGACATACAGTGGTTAAAAAGTGTAGGCAAAAACATGTAGTCAGAAAAATGAACCCCTCCACACAAATACAAAATAACTTTTAATTCCATGACAGTGAATTCACAATTGTTAAGAACTGGCTATATTCATATTTTTGGGTTATATTTCATCCCAAATTCAAAAATAAACAAACAAATAAAATATAGGCAATTACAAAAAAAAAAAATATATATATATATATATTTTTTTTTTGTTTGTTTTGGTTTTTTTTGGTGAAAAATGTATGGTTCTAAAAATGAATCCTATTTTATTTACTCATTAATTTTGTATTGTGACATTTCATGGCAGTTGAAATGTCACCAATTTTGATTATTACCATAGTGAAAAAATTCTCATTCTCATTTCTGTTTGGAAACCCCCCCCCCCCAATGATGCATTATTTAAAGTATACAGTATTTATACATCATTGTAATATTTATTATATCTGCTGATTTATGCTGATTAAAAAGAACCATTGTACTACAGTAATGAGAATCTAATAAAATACCTGGACATAATAGTAATGAGATTTTTGTGGGTACAATCTGCTAACATATAATGAAAAAAATCAGTATGCAAACATTTTTTATATAATATAAAATAGTATATTTATAATATAATATATAACATATATAATAATATCTGCTGATTTATGCTGATTAAAAAAACCCATTGTACTACAGTAATGAGAATCTAATAAAATACCTGGACATAATAGTAATGAGATTTTGTGGGTACAATCTGCTAACATATAATGAAAAAAATCAGTATGCAAACATTTTTTATATAATATAAAATAGTATATTTATAATATAATATATAACATATATAATAATATATAAATACTTTAGTTTTCTTTTTATCTTTTGAATTTGGGGTTGAATGTGGCCTGGACAGATTCTCTTTTTTGCAAAGTCATTTTGTGCAGTGTAGATTAAGTTATCGGAGGAATGGCCTGGACATGTTTTTGTGAGATTTACTCGAACATTGATTTAACCCTGTGAAGTTCACAAAAGAGCTTAAGGGTCTGTTGTGCATCTGCAGTCTAATTTCCATTGTCCATGTTTTTATTATAAAAATTTTATTAGAATTATGTTCAGTGAAAATTGAGCAATTCACAATTATGCTAAGTCCAGATTTTCATAATTTTTTTACTTGTGTATAATAAAGAGAACAGTGTGTGCTGAGTGACATCATCTGATATGCGGTCAGTGTAGTTTGTGATTATTATAGTGTAAACTGTGAGGCCGTTTTGGCACGTCTGTAGACGTTTGGATGCTGTATCTGGTTCTCTGAGGAGACACGTCTGTGGAATGCCAAACGAACGTCTGGCAGAAAGCATGTTCATTTAATGAACCACCAATCATAGAGCTGTTTACTTCACTCCTTTGACGATTCTCCTGGCGTTCTGCCACCACTGCGACTCCACCTTTATTTCTATAATTCATTAGGATGGGGAAACTCTATTACGCTCTAAGATTATATGAACATTTTCTCTTTCAATTTTATCATGTACACCACAAGGTCAGCTGCAAAGATAAGCAGTATTGTGTTTGTGTGTGTGAAATAAGACACTGGGAGGGGCTGTGGGGCGGTGGGTCTGGTTGCGGTCTGGTGTTACTGCAGTAAATACCTGCAGCTGCTACATCTGCAAAACTCAAAATGGAAAAAGAGAAAGCATACACACGCATACGTATCTGTATCATCCCACCGGCCCACCTTGGGTAGTAAAATATCCTCACACCAGCTGCTTCAGGTGATTATAATTCCTCCCTATTAATGGTGTGTGTGTGTGTTTGTTTGTTTGTGTGTGAATAAGGAGTGTCCTCCTCAGAGAAAATGTGGTAAACCTCTGTCAGACACGCATGCACACACACACACACAGTATTGTTACTGTATTGTGTTTATTGTGTCAGATGGTGGGCTCGTTTTACAGTGTCCAAATCCTCAGATTTGCATGTGTGTGTGTGTAGGTGCTGAGCTAATGAATTTTGACAAGATATTTTTAGCCTCATGAAACCTTAGAATAACTGAATATTTGGAATACAGAGAAGTGTGCCCATATATGGTGATTTGTTCTGGACTGAGGTGAATAGGACTGAAATGTATTTGTGATGAACAAGGCTGAATAAGTACAATGAACTGGGGTCAGTCTAACTCGGTTACAGTGAGAGTTTGTTGTAGTGTAGCTATAGTGGCAAATTGTATCATGAAAACAGTTATCAAAAGAACATATCAAAGACTATGGCATAGAAAGTGTTAATGTCAGGCATCACTATCAAAAAAGTAGTGGCATAAAGTATAAAGAAGTTCCATATTGTCGTACACTTTTGGGCATGGGAATTCTTATTACAGTTTTTCTGAGCTTTGGCTCAATTCTAGAATGAGATTTGTTTCTTAAAATGGAAAGGTCTTTGAATACTTAGTTTCTTGTTCACACTAGATTAGAATTTTTTATTCATTTATTCATTTTAAAAATGGGATGTGTGCAAAAAAAAAGTACATTAACACTGCACAATCAATTGCATTGTAAAGTTTATAGAATATGTAAACAAAAAAGTGCTTGAAGGAACACATGCTGCTGAATATTTTTATGGAAACCGTGATACATTTTTTTTCAGGATTTTTTTTGATGAATAGGCAAGGCAAGGCAAGGCAAGTTTATTTGTATAGCACATTTCATACACAATGGTAATTCAAAGTGCTTTACATAAAATAAAATAAAAACAATAATCACAGCCCCATAGCATGATGGACCCTACACCAAATTTAACAGTGGGGAGCAGGTTAGAATAGAAAGTTTAGACATCATTATATTATCACAAACAAACAATAGATACATTTTCTGATTATTATTATAAGTAATGCATTTACTTATTGAACAGTGGTGTCATGTCATTGCTACAGCCTTTATTTTATAAAAGCAATAAGCAGCTTTACCATATAAGAAATCTTTACCCTTAGTAAAATTGCAGGATGGCCTCAAGTTGCTAATTGCTTTAGTACAATAATAATGGTAATCATTAGGTAACTTGATATACATCACAATACATGGTATTATCGTTGATGCATAAATTACCAATGTTCTCAAAAGTGTCAAAATTAATTAAACAAAAATATTTGCGTGAAAGAGAGAGAGAAAGAGACATTGAAGAAAATGTGTACAAATGAACCTCAGTCTTGGACAACCCTTTTTTAACAGCCAAGCAGATGGACTCACAGACAGACAGTCAGACCGGTTTGTGCTTCATGCCATAAAAATGGAATGAAACAGAATTAAATGCAACTCTGCCAATAAGAGCAAGAAAAAAGGAGTGTAGACTGAATGGCCATATGCTGTGTGTGTGTGTGTGTGTGTGTGTGTGTGAATGTTCTTCAGTATTTTGGGGTGAGTCAGCATACAGAGTGATGTTCAGCTCAGATGAAGCGAGAACAAAACATTGGGAATATGAAAGACAGAAAGATAGTACAAGCTGAAGAAGCATAGTAAAGCCTGAAATCACTTCCAGGACATTGTGGGGACAGTCAGTGGTCAGCAACTGACTAAACATACTAAATAATGTCTTTGTGTGAGGATTAGGTCTTTAAATTTAGGGGACAGAAAATACCAAGTCATTGGAAATGTGTGTGTTGGATCTTAGTTAAACATCCTTTTCTTGACTTTTTCCATTCACTTCTTCATCTACTGGTTCATTCATGCTTCATTCTGCCCGTGCTTTTCTCCTGCACTGTGTGCCTGTGTGTGTGTGTGTGTGTGTGTCAGGAGAAATTGTAACTCTCCTATATCAATATCTATATGCTAAAAAAAACTTGGTTGCTACACATTTACTATAATAAAATCATGGTTAATTTTCGTAAGGGATGTTTTGCCATTTATTTTCTTATTGTGACATTACTGTATTATTATTAGGAATGCACTAATATTAAAATCCTGGCTAATACCAATAAACCAATAATTACTTTCATGTTATGACTGATACACAATTAAATGTTGATATTAAAATACCATAAATTAAAAATAAAATAATTAAAAACTAAAATCAGGCATTTTAAATGCCACAAATAAATATAATGATCACAACATAATATTTATAACATATACCATTACAGTATGAACATTACATTAATTATTAACATTACATTAAATTGACATTAATTTTAAGATTTATATTTGGCAGTGTTATTTAATTATGTTTTTAAAGATTAACTTTAATATTGATACCTATAAAATGCCTAATATCGTCAAATAGTTGATATGTCATACGATTATTGGCAGTATACCTAACTTTTGTGACAGTTATTAGTATTAATAAAAATGAATCGTTGTCAATATTTATTTAATTATAAATACTTAAATTTTTTATGTATTAATATAATACAACCTGATGACTTCTTATGTGGTTGTTTTATTTTGGGCTGTAATATGACCCATAAATTCCTTCGTAAATTCCTAAAGACTTAGCACTTGACACAAGACTGGCCAAATCACACATCTGCACTGTTAAACTCAAGACTAGATCATGAGGTGTTCTGCTTATCTACTTTATTAGCTGTAGAAACGGTTTGTTATTTCTTTCAGACATTCCATATTTCATGTTTTTGTTTAAACATTGTCAATCTGCATTGAATGTTACTGTTTTCCACAAGAATGGACAAGTGGGGTATGTGCATGTGTGAGTAGGTGTGTGTGTATAAAATCAGCATATGGCTGGTCGAGAACAGACACATTCTGAGGTCAGAGGGTGTGCGTGATGGGAAAAGAAAAGCATTTGCACAGAAACTTCCTCTCTAACGTTGAGTTGGCAGCCGTATGTTAGCAGGTAATTACAGTAAAAGAGCGTACAGCTACTCGCAGCATGGTCACGGACATCGGCTTAACGGCCACAGCAGAAGTAAATGACAGTAATTACCTCTCAACCATGTTAGAGAGAGAGAGCAAAGCAAAATAAGAGTGAAAGATTAAGAGAAAGAGAGAGACAGTGGAGAGAAGCGAGCGAGAGAGAAAAGAAGTCCATTAGGGTAATGTGCAGTAAAATTTCTCTTAGAGCGCCATGACTCGTTAAGTGGTCTCCATCTGTCTCGCTTTTTAAACTCAGGAAATATGAAAATCATTTATAATTGAGAATATCCAGGCATGCCCCGAGCTGGTTTGTGCATGTTAACTGGCATGGTCAGAGCTCCCACATTGCTCCCACAGAGCATCCCAAACTGAGCAAAGGCTTCATTAGAAAATCACATTGATTCATGAATGAGTGGTGTCTGTCAGCCTTATTTTTCTCCGCATCATTCTGCAGCAGCCAGCTTCTTTCATATCAAATCACTTCAAGTAATGCACTAAAGATTGAATTACTAATTCAAAATCAGATGTGCGTTTGTATGTATGTACTGTATATATTTAGTTTTGTTCTATCAGTATTTTACTATAAAAAATATCTAAACATCCTTAAAACAAGTCAAATTTAGTTGAGAAGCAAAAGTAATATAATAAGACTTTCTTCTGAGAATATATTTTGAAGTTACCCACTTGTTTTAAACATAAATCTCATTATAAAATAGTTGTGCATACAGCAAGAAACTGTGGGGTAAAAAGAAAAAAATAATTTAAGGTATATTCTCTGAAAACACATCTTATTTTATGCAGTTATCTAATGTAAATTTATCTTGTTTTAAGTATGTTTATTTTTACTGGAAAATAAGGTTAGGAAAACTGATTAAGAAACTACTTTACGTCTTGGAAGTAGACTTGTGTTACTATGCTATGTGTATATGTATGCAAGCGTGTCTACTTCCAGCGAGCCACCCTCTCTCTCTCTCTCTCTCTCTCTCTCTCTCTCTCTTTATCCGTGTGATGAATGTCCATCATTGACAGTAGTGGCATATGATAAATGCCTTCATTATCTTCAGTGGAACTCTGGCTTTGGCAGTCAATTCACTAGTCTTAAGAGAAATCTCTGTGTCTGCAGTCTGCTCAGGCAGGCCTGAGGCAAATCCTATTCTGATTCGGATTCAAAAGCGGTATTGGCATTATAATCAAAGTTTTAAAGTGCCAATGCATTAGTAAACAGTACACACATTTGGACACAACACATATCAACAGAAGCTTGCATAGGGCTTTGTAGCTATTGGATTTCCTCTGTGTTCAGCTTGTGTGTAGTTATAGCATGAGAGTGTCATTTGTTTCTACTTCATTTTGGGGCAAATTCAAGAATGTAGCACATTACCATATAGTATTTTAGCGTGAAACATGCCTGCTTTCTATGTTAATTAGGTGTATAATAGACACTAATAATAATAATTATACCACAAGCTAGCACTCAGAACCAATTCACAAAAATTTGGGTGTGTTTGCACCATTACTTCATTTGCATAAACCTTTAGTAAATTGAGAACTAAAACAACTGAAACAGTGCATGCAAATGAACAATGCAATTCATTCTTTGTGAATTCCCCATTCTGTGTGCAGTTAGTTGTGTTGCCAGGTCTGTCTTTGTCTACCTGTCTGTCTTTATGACAAGCCAATGTTTGCAAATCACTTTCTATGTACTCTACTCGCCAGGCCTGAGGCAAATTTTCTGCACTCAACTACTTTGACTGACCTCCTCTCTGGAGAGTGACAGCCTTATCAACTCCAAGACAGTTTTGTTGAGTGGTTGGACAGACAAAACTATCCTGGCAGAAAGAGTGTCAGAGAAAAGGAGTGAGACAGAGGCAGTGTTCAATCATTTAGTAGTATTTCTTTCTTATAGGATAGTTATGTCGATGTTCACCTTTCTATGGTTTGGCCTGTCTATCCCCCCTGTTAAGTTATTCTTTGTGTCAGCAGTAGACATCATATTCTTTAATTACACAGAGTTCCCCAGTTCTGTCTTACTCTCACATGTACACACAACCAACATTTTCTGTCTCACAGGTTTAAGCCCCTCGTTCCTGTCTATCTCAGTCGGTTGTCACTGTCTTTCTCAGTTAGTGTCACCTGCAGTGCCACAGATACACACTCACATACACACACTCAAAATCCACATGCATAATTGCCCCTTGAAGGGAAAACCTTTTAGTCGTGGCTGTCAGAGTTTGACCCTGCAGCTTGCCTTGGGCAGCTGACTCCTGACATCTTGTAATGAGTGTGCCTGTGTATGTGAGGATGCATGTGTCAAAAATACAGAAAGCCAATGTGTTAGGACGAGTTAGAGAACAATAATCAGAGAAATACACAATAAATACCCCTTTTAGCATTTTATATATATATTTCATTTCATTGTTACATAATTGCATATTTATTACTAACATATAGATTTATTTTAAATATTTAAATGCATTATACATATTTAATATATATGTTTATATTTTATTTTGTATTTTTATTGTACAATATTATTTCTGTATTCTGAGAGAGATGATCATCTTGATTTGATTTTAATATTTCATGACATAAACCACATTTTTCTTCACACTTGGTTTGTTATATTTAATGCCTATTCTGTAAACCCCTAATCTTACATAGATCTGACACTTCACAGAACACACACACACACTCTCTTCACACACTGTGTCATCAGACTAAGTAATATAGAAGGACAGCCATACTCTTTTAATGATGTCTTAGTCCACAGAGAGTGCTTGAGAGTGCATTAGTATGCTTTAATAGACATTGTGATGTGTTAATCTCTAGTTTAGGTTGTTCATTGTGCGGTTGTTCATGTTACAGGTCTGCGATTGGTGCAAACACATCCGCCACACTAAGGAATACCTGGATTTTGGAGCGGGTGAAAGACGGCTCCAGTTCTGCAGTGCAAAGTGTCTGAACCAGTATAAAATGGACATATTCTATAAAGAGACTCAGGCCGCACTGCCTGGGGGTTTATGTAACCCTCCTCTCCCCACGAGTGATATGAAATCAGAGAGCGCAGCGGGTGTACAACTCCTTACACCCGAGTCCTGGAGCGCACCTCTAAATGAGCTCCGCAGTCGCAAGGCACCTTCACCAGGGGGTGTCACCACTGTAGCTGGACCCTTTGGATCCACCTCAGGGTCACCATCTGAAACTGGAACTGTGTGTTCCTCCTCGTCCTCGTCATCCTCGTCATCATCATCTACGAAAATCCCCACACCGCGGCCACACGAAAGCCCCGCATTACCGCCACCTCCTCCTCTGCCACCGATAGCAGGTTTACATCCAGCTCTGGGTGTGCAACCCGGCAGCCCACCGATGGTGATGACACCGCGTGGCCCAATTCCTCTCCCTCTCTTTATGGAGCACCAGATGATGCAGCAGATTCGCCCTCCGTTCCTACGTCCCCCAGGCCCCAACAGCCCACATTCCAATCCCATGATTCCTGGCATTGGGCCACCACCTCCTCCTCGGACTTTGGGTCATCCATCAAGCCCTATGCACCGCCCGCTCCTTTCCCCCCACATACACCCATCCTCCACACCAACCCTTTCTGGGAACCCTCCGGGTATGATGCCCCCTTATCCCGGTGGCCACATGCCAGCCTTGCCTTTCCCCCCAGTTAACATGATGCCACCTGGATCCATCCCAGTTCCACCCATTATGAATATTGGCATACCTTCTCTGGCCCCCCTAGTGCCACCACCAACATTATTAGTGCCCTATCCAGTGATTGTGCCATTACCAGTCCCCATACCCATTCCAGTGCCCATACCATTCAGTCCGCAGGCTTCTGGTAACCGATCAGGAGATGATGGAACGCTTCAGAACGCTGCGAGCGAGCGGAGTGATTCAAAAGCACCGCCACCATTTTCTCAAAGAACCTCCAGAGGGGAGAGGAGGGACTTTCAGCAAGCCCCTCCCACCTCAGATACACTTTCGCCAGGATTTTCCAAACAGACGGAGCAGGGCAGGGCAAACATGGCGGAGCTGATGGTTAAAACAGAGAACTCTGGTAACGGAAGCTCTGGACACTCCCAAAAAGACACACCAGCAGATGGAGTCATTGATTTAACAACCAGTCGCCGTTCCCGGCAACAGCTAGTTATCCAGAGGGCTGTAACCTGTGTTCAGGTAAAAGCAGAGCCCGGGTTAAGCCCACCACCTGCAGTTTTGGGTGAAACTGAGGTGGATGGGTCGGCCGGTACTAGCACAGGTACAATAGAAGATAACCACAGAGACAGTAATGCTGAAAGCCCGTTGGCTAGCGTGGCTCTGCCTTGTGCCAACCCGTCCTACTGCAGCGGCACACCGCCACTTTCTCAGCCAATCGCATGCAGTGCCTCCACTGTTCCTAGCAACACCACCACAGCTAAATCTGAGCCTGGCTCCGCTACACCCTGCAATGTGATTGTTAATGGGAGCTGTAATGTGCCTCCAGCCGAGAGTTCGATCAGAACACCTCTGTTAGAGCAGCGCCCTCTAGTGGACCCCTGCCGCAGAACTGCCGCTGTGTGCGACGAGCCTGCGGGGGCCGATCTAGAAGGAGAGGACCTGAAAGAGAACAGCTGCTTAGCAACAGAAAGAGACTCAGCAGGTAAGAGAAGCTCAAATGACCAGCCTGCCATTACTGCAGTAACAGGGGAGGACAAACCTCAGAGCCCTGAAGATGCCCCATCTGATGAGGACCATGCCTACGCCCTGCCCCTAATGCCCAAACCTGGCTGTGTCATTCAGCCCGTGCCCAAACCTGCTGACAAAACCGCTGCCATTTTGCCCTGTGGCTTGACAGCCCCATTAACAGGAACCGTTCCAATGGAAATGGAGCCTCCGCTGAAGAGAAGGTGTCTGCGTATCCGCAATCAGAACAAGTGAAATAGAGGACAGGTGAGAATCACATTTTGTCCACTTCCTTAGTAGTCTTATGATTTACTGCATGTCTGCCTTCACTCTTAGATTGCTTTAAGCGCTATAATGCCGTAAAAATTATTATTTTTTTATTAAAGAAATTGTTCATACAAATATAAAAAATTATTTTCATTTACACACCCCCAGGTTGCACCAAATCTGTAATTCTTCCGTGAAACACAAAAAGTGAATTTTGAAAAATGTAGGCCTACTTTGTCTCTTTTCTATACAATTAAATGTTTAACAAGAGCTTTTTAACTTCAAAAGGAAGCAAAAGCACCATAAAATTATCATGAAAGTTCATATAAGTCTATATAACTCACTAATATATCAAACATACCCTACCATTAAACTGCATGGTGTTAAGATTTTTTGTAAAAAAAAAATTTATTTAAAGAAATCTCTGATACTCACCAATGTTACATTGAGAGTATTTGATCAAAAAATACAGTAATATTGTGAAATATTATTACAATTTAAAACAACTGTATTCTATTTGAATATATCTTAACATTTAATTCATTCCTGTGATGGCAATGCTGAATTTTCACTGTTACAGTCTTCATCCTCAGAATCCTTTATGATCCTTCAGCAATCATTCTAATATGCTGATTTGGTGCTCCAGAGACATTTATATTATCATCTATGTTGAAAACAGTTGTGCAGCTTCATGTTTTTGTGGAAGCCACAATACATTTTTCAGGAATCTTTGATGAATAGAAAGTTCAAAAGAACTGTATTTATTATAAATGTCTTTACTGTCAATTCTAATCATTTTAATGCATCCTTGCTGAAATAAATCATTTTGGAGCTTGACAGCCTCAGTCCCCATTGACATGAGGGGAGTAAATAATGACAAAACTTTGATTTTAGGATGAACTATCCCTTTAATACTCTGATAACTCTTAAATTTATCCCTGAATTGATCCTTTATTCATATAAATCATTCAAACAGATCAAAAAAGACCAACAAGGCTGTATGTGACAATTTACCCATTACTCTTTTTTCTCTTCTTTCACTCTCTTTTATTTTCCCCACCTCTCTCTTATAGAAATCACCATCTCACCAAAGGGATAAAGAGGACTGCACTGCAGCAGAGACCATCAGCTGTCCACAGACTTCATCCACAATCCAGCCAATCAAGATGTCAACCTTGTTTTCTCCACTTTTCCAAACACGCACATGAACGTTGCGACATAATATGCACACCGATCATCGGGATTGGGCAGCAGTCTGCTCTGTCTCCACCCATTTCGGCTAAACAAAGACTGACATAAAGTGTTAATCTGGGAAGTAGATCGGACGTGATGTTTGACCTTCAACTGCGATATCTTCAGGCAAAGTCTGTTCTCAGTCTACTTGTTGATGAAAGAGATACTTCTCATCCTCTCCACTCGACCCCTCCATCCACGGCTTGTTGAGAGGACTTTCCAACTACTGGTTGGAGGCGGCATTACAGTGTACATATACAGATTTCCAAAAAGGTGGAGCTTAAGCCAAACACAATAGATCTGCCAGGCTGCCAATCAAACACGCTCATGAATAACTATAATTTGGAATAGGGCCAGTCAAATCCTGCCACAGATGGATGGACCAGTTTTCTGCTTTGTGTGTGCATTCAAAGAAGCTCGGTTTGATCTGTCTGTACGTTTGGAGTCGGATGATTCTGATTCAATAGCTTCAGTCAGAAAGACTTATACAGATGCAGAGTTGCTCTAAAACTCTGAATACTCTCTCCTCTCAAATCCTTCTCCCCCTCACTTCCTCTGACTATGTGTATCAGTATCTGCAACACCAGCAAAACACTCTGTACTCTTTCTTAACCTCTTTCCCTTTCTCTCCTTTCTGAGGGAGAGGTGTTCTGGAACCGGACACCAAAAAAGACAGGAAGAGAGAAACGCACACACACCCTGGAGGGAGTACAAAAACAGAAGGATGGAGTGAACTTTCGTTTTATCCCTGGGAAGAAGCTGGAAACTCATCCATCGTTGGAGAAGAAAACTAGAAGATAAGTAGTCTGCACTACTGGAGAACAGTGTATGTGGATGGTTTGCTGGTTTATTGTGCAATGAAAATTCATTCACTCACTGATTTGATTGAGGATTACAGGGTACAGACCTCACCAAGCATTTTGGCGAACTGTTAAAATGGCTGCTAGCTTTGCGGCCATTGGCTTGGAGACTGTCCCACCCAGTCTGTTCAATCACAAGCGCTCATTGCCACGCCGCACAGCTCAGCGAAGAGTCGGTCTAACACTGCTGGTGGGTTGTGTACACACTGTCCTGATGTATCAGATGGCTTAGATGGAAATCAGTGTCCACAGGGGCATTTGGGTTGGATTTCTCATTATTTATATCAGTATCCATCTTATTGCAGTGCTCTTATTTAAGAAAAATCCCTCCTGGGTTTGCTATCAAGAGTACAATCAAAACCAGTGGAGAAGTCAGTAAGCGTCTCGGGCAGCTGTGAGCTGGTGTCAAGGGTGCATTCTTGAGGTTTTTTTATGCTTTATTTTTTGCCAAATCCCAATCAGTGCTAAATTATGTTCATCACTTCCTTTCCAGCTATGGTTACAGGAACAGTTTCAGTTAGTTCCAAGGTGCCTCAGTGTAGAGTTCACTTACACAAGATGCCAAGAACATTTAGCTTAAAGGTAGACTGGGTTGGTTAGGTGGACACAGAGCCAAAATGATTTTAGTTACACAGAGTACTATAAGAGCTTAATGCATGGTTAGCACCTGGGTGCATAGGTTATTTGTTTTGACTAAAGTGGAAGAGTGAACCTTAAAGCCAAGCGTGTGCGTGTTTGTGTGTGTGTGTAATTGGGAGAAGGTGTATCAGATTTCTGGCCAAAATGGAGTCCAGTTTGACAAAACATTCAAGTTTGCCAATTTATTTTGGGAGAAGGTCTAAAATTCAAGTCAAAAATTTGTCAAGCAATGTGTCGGAAATCACAAGGAGGATGAAAAATCAAAAATACACAAATCAAAAATACACATGATTTGACAATATCGATGAATACAAAAGTTTCAGTCATACATGAAAAGAGGAAATAAATCTAAACATTTTCATTTAAACAATTTACTGAGAGCAGACTTTCAGATCATACATACTTTGTTTTACGTTTTTTGTTTGTTCTTTACTTTAGTCACTTTGATATACTTTTTTCGTTTTTTATTTTTGTTGTTTTTAGTTGCTTTTTAATTGCTTCTTTGTTTTGCTTTCTTTTTTTGGTTTCGTTTATTTTTCCTTTTTTTGTTGTTACTTTTATCATTTTTTGTTTTGTTTGGAGTGAACCTTAAAGCCAAGCGTGTGCGTGTTTGTGTGTGTGTGTAATTGGGAGAAGGTGTATCAGATTTCTGGCCAAAATGGAGTCCAGTTTGACAAAACATTCAAGTTTGCCAATTTATTTTGGGAGAAGGTCTAAAATTCAAGTCAAAAATTTGTCAAGCAATGTGTCGGAAATCACAAGGAGGATGAAAAATCAAAAATACACAAATCAAAAATACACATGATTTGACAATATCGATGAATACAAAAGTTTCAGTCATACATGAAAAGAGGAAATAAATCTAAACATTTTCATTTAAACAATTTACTGAGAGCAGACTTTCAGATCATACATACTTTGTTTTACGTTTTTTGTTTGTTCTTTACTTTAGTCACTTTGATATACTTTTTTCGTTTTTTATTTTTGTTGTTTTTAGTTGCTTTTTAATTGCTTCTTTGTTTTGCTTTCTTTTTTTGGTTTCGTTTATTTTTCCTTTTTTTGTTGTTACTTTTATCATTTTTTGTTTTGTTTTTAATTTTCTTCTGTTTCTATCTTTTGTTTTGTTTTATTTATTTTTTCTCCGATTACTCTCATATAAACTAAGTTTAACTGGCCAACACTGACCCAAATCTCCCCTTCAACCTTTACCACTTCTCTCTCTCCCTCTTTTCCCCTCTTCTTTTTCTCTCTGCTCTTGGACGACGTACAAAGAAGAGTGCAATCCTACCCTATCCCTCTGTACTTTTTGCTGCAGGATTCAGTTTCACAGTGGTATACTTTTTTAAGAGTAGGCTCAGAGGTCTAATTGTGACTGGTTAGAGTAAGGACTGGATTTCTCTCTGGGGTTCGTATGTGGTGGAGTCTCATTCCAGTGTCAGATTTAAACACACACACACACACACACACACACACACACACATTCCTGTGTCAGACTTATTTTGTCAGTGCTGATACGGCTGGCTGACCCTCCGTCTGGATGGAGGTGTTACAGAAAGCAGATTGATAAAAAGGGCAAAATGTCAGGGAAGCATAAACACACACACCCAGTATACACGTTCAGTCCATGTGTTTGGTGTGTGTGTGTTTATAGGAGAAACAGTGAATCTCAGTGTTGATCTGAGAATCTTGATACTTTGTGTGCGGCGCAACCAAACGTGCATTACATGTCTGGATTGGTCGCGAGGAGCCAGCAACAGCATCATATGTCGTTCTCATTATTGACTCAAATTTCCTAGCTTTTTTCCTCTCTCTCCTCCTCCTCTTTCATTCTCAGCCCTTTTACTTCCCCCCCCCCCTTATTTGTTTTCACTTAAAGTAATTATTTACTAAGTTAGTATTTTAAATATGCCACAGTGAGCTATGGAAGCCTTTTTCCACCTCAGAGTAAAAAACAAAAAATGTAATTGTGAGATCAATTTTAAATAAGAACATAAGTCACACTGTGAGATATAAAGTCACAATGATAGGAAATAAAGTTGCAATTATGAGAAATATTCGCAACTGCAAGAAATATTCACACTGTGAGATACAAAGTCTCAATGCAAGACAAAGTTGCAATTATGAAATAAAATGTCTCAAATTCAATTGCAAGAAAAACATCTGCTTTGCAAGATATACATTAGCAATTTGGCAAAATCAAAGCAGAAATGGTGAAATATAGTCCCAGTATGAGATTTAAATCTATAATTGGGAAACATAAGAGTCACATTTTTTTTACTCTGATATCCAGATGTTCTGAAAACAAAAAGCACCAATTCACCAATTTTGTCACTCTGGCCTATACAATATTATTCCCATTTTCAAACTTACTTCCTCTATAACAGTGTACTCTTAAAATAAGCAATTACAGCTTGTTTATGTTGATTAATAGGGTGTTTGAAGGACAATTTAAGGTCACGTCATACAGAAATCACTTCCTATAGCTGCACACACCACCCAAACACCCATTACTGCTTATCTCACAGACATGAAATATGATTTTTTTCACTTCCCTGTGTGTGGTATTGTGTGTGTGCTTGTGTGACCTTGCTGTTGTAACCGGAGCAGCACAGACTGGGCTGGGACAGATATAGCCCTGAAACCCAACACTGTTGTAGTGTCTGCGGTCCCACGCAGACAAGACAATGACACCAGCAAAAACGTACGTGTGTGTGGGGGGGGACACAGCAGATGAAGCTGTCCTTGACAACAACACAGAGACACTGTGTATGTATGTGTACATTGTATGGAAGAGATAGTCAAACACTGTAAAATTGTGTCAACTATAATAAATGGCCACAAAACAATATAATTTCTCTCATAAAGTTCCAGTGATCTTTTAAAAAAATTAGAAACTCCTATTTGATTTACTGTCCAGTGCTTTCTAAATGACATGATGGTGATCCAGAGTTTCCAGAGTGAAAAATATCCAGTGTGTTTATTATGGGGTTGCCAGATCTTCCTAAAAATAATTTTTTCCCCCCAAAAACAAGCCCGAAATAAGCGATTTCTCTCATCAAAATACACCACCTTTCAAAAGTCTGAGGTAAAGAAAAATCAGTAAAACCATTAATATTGTGAAATATTATTACAATTTAAAATAGCTGTTTTTGTTTGAATACATTTTCAAATGTAAGTTATTCCTGTGAAAATGCCATGAATTGACAAAGCTGAATTTTCAGCATTTATTACTTCAGTCTTCAGGTGTCACATGATCCTTCAGAAATCATTCTAATATTTTTATTTGGTGCTCAAGAATGATTTCTTATTGTGAGTGTTGGAAACAGTTGTGCTGCTAATATTTTTGTGGATTCTTTGATGAATGGAAAGTTCAAAAGAACAGAATTGCTACTGTCACATGATCAATTTAATGCTTCCTTGTTGAGTAGAATTTAATTAAAAAAAATCTTACTGGCCTTAAACTTTTGAATGGTAGTATAAGTCTAAAAATAAGCAATTTTTATATGAAAAAAAAAACAAAAACATGAGAGTTAAATGTGGAGTCATGTCAGTGGTCGGGTCACACGTTCATGCCATTGGGGTAAAATAAATACAAGACTTAATTCTGGAAATAATCCCAAAACAATGCGACCCATATTTACAAGCAACTTTATAAAAAAGGAGCAAAGTTGTTTACAATAAAAGACCATGGCAACATTAGTCCACTAGAGGGAAGCGAAGTGTGTTCTGTCAACAAGCTCAAAGAAGCACACATTAGAGATGCAAGGAGCTAAAATGAACTGAAATAACAAACCATAGAGCTTGAGTGCAATACTGTAATCCAAGAGCGTTTCAAAGGATCTACTAGAGAGGCGCCTGTTTTAGTGGCCAAACTGTCTTTCAGCCCCGAGGCTGGGTACAGAGAGAGCACTTGGCTTTTTCATTCACCAAAATTAGTCATTATGAATGTTTGGAGGGCTTCTGTTTAATCAGACTGGGGGAACATGAGCACTGCTGTGGCCAAAGATCAGCCACACGCACAGAAACAAGATGGAGATGCAGAAACCCATACAGCCAACTCAAATACCAGCAAAACCAATCAATCAGTGCATCCCTAATCGAGCAGTGTTATACAACTCAAACTAAACAACAATCACAGCAACGTCAGCTCTACTGTAAAGATGTCAAATCAAGAGAACTGGAAAAGTGAGAGGCAGCTTATGTGAGTTTTCAACATCTATAGTATGTGACAAAGGGGTCAGTAATATCGCAACACTCCTGTAGCCATGTAAGAAATGTTTTTCCCATCATTCCTGTGGGCGGTATTAAGAGGATGGCTTTGTCAACAGCCGGAATTATGCAACAACAAATTCTTATTTCTGCACTCTGTGTGAAAATAAGCAATTACAGCTTGTTTATGTTGATTAATAGGGTGTTTGAAGGACAATTTAAGGTCACGTCATACAGAAATCACTTCCTATAGCTGCACACACCACCCAAACACCCATTACTGCTTATCTCACAGACATGAAATATGATTTTTTTCACTTCCCTGTGTGTGTATATGTGTGTGTGCTTGTGTGACCTTGCTGTTGTAACCGGAGCAGCACAGACTGGGCTGGGACAGATATAGCCCTGAAACCCAACACTGTTGTAGTGTCTGCGGTCCCACGCAGACAAGACAATGACACCAGCAAAAACGTACGTGTGTGTGGGGGGGGACACAGCAGATGAAGCTGTCCTTGACAACAACACAGAGACACTGTGTATGTATGTGTACATTGTATGGAAGAGATAGTCATTGCACTTATGGTAAACACTGTAAAACTGTGTCAACTATAATAAATGGCCACAAAACAATATAATTTCTCTCATAAAGTTCCAGTGATCTTTTAAAAAAATTAGAAACTCCTATTTGATTTACTGTCCAGTGCTTTCTAAATGACATGATGGTGATCCAGAGTTTCCAGAGTGAAAAATATCCAGTGTGTTTATTATGGGGTTGCCAGATCTTCCTAAAAAGAAAAAAACTTTCCCAAAAACAAGCCCGAAATAAGCGATTTCTCTCATCAAAATACACCACCTTTCAAAAGTCTGAGGTAAAGAAAAATCAGTAAAACCATTAATATTGTGAAATATTATTACAATTTAAAATAGCTGTTTTTGTTTGAATACATTTTCAAATGTAAGTTATTCCTGTGAAAATGCCATGAATTGACAAAGCTGAATTTTCAGCATTTATTACTTCAGTCTTCAGGTGTCACATGATCCTTCAGAAATCATTCTAATATTTTTATTTGGTGCTCAAGAATGATTTCTTATTGTGAGTGTTGGAAACAGTTGTGCTGCTAATATTTTTGTGGATTCTTTGATGAATGGAAAGTTCAAAAGAACAGAATTGCTACTGTCACATGATCAATTTAATGCTTCCTTGTTGAGTAGAATTTAATTAAAAAAAAATCTTACTGGCCTTAAACTTTTGAATGGTAGTATAAGTCTAAAAATAAGCAATTTTTATATGAAAAAAAAAACAAAAACATGAGAGTTAAATGTGGAGTCATGTCAGTGGTCGGGTCACACGTTCATGCCATTGGGGTAAAATAAATACAAGACTTAATTCTGGAAATAATCCCAAAACAATGCGACCCATATTTACAAGCAACTTTATAAAAAAGGAGCAAAGTTGTTTACAATAAAAGACCATGGCAACATTAGTCCACTAGAGGGAAGCGAAGTGTGTTCTGTCAACAAGCTCAAAGAAGCACACATGAGAGATGCAAGGAGCTAAAATGAACTGAAATAACAAACCATAGAGCTTGAGTGCAATACTGTAATCCAAGAGCGTTTCAAAGGATCTACTAGAGAGGCGCCTGTTTTAGTGGCCAAACTGTCTTTCAGCCCCGAGGCTGGGTACAGAGAGAGCACTTGGCTTTTTCATTCACCAAAATTAGTCATTATGAATGTTTGGAGGGCTTCTGTTTAATCAGACTGGGGGAACATGAGCACTGCTGTGGCCAAAGATCAGCCACACGCACAGAAACAAGATGGAGATGCAGAAACCCATACAGCCAACTCAAATACCAGCAAAACCAATCAATCAGTGCATCCCTAATCGAGCAGTGTTATACAACTCAAACTAAACAACAATCACAGCAACGTCAGCTCTACTGTAAAGATGTCAAATCAAGAGAACTGGAAAAGTGAGAGGCAGCTTATGTGAGTTTTCAACATCTATAGTATGTGACAAAGGGGTCAGTAATATCGCAACACTCCTGTAGCCATGTAAGAAATGTTTTTCCCATCATTCCTGTGGGCGGTATTAAGAGGATGGCTTTGTCAACAGCCGGAATTATGCAACAACAAATTCTTATTTCTGCACTCTGTGTGAGAGACACTATGTCTGTGTAAAATAACAAGAGCAAACTGCAGTTTTTAAGGATCTAATGTTAAAGGTTTTTTTAGGCGAACATTTGAGCTGCCTTAATTCTTTGTGCTCTGTAATTAACAATGCCTGCTTGTTTAAAAAAAGCAAAACCCACTTTGTAAAAAAAAAACTAAACACACACACACACACAACACTCCAAGAAAAAGCACTCATAAATAAGTAAATAAATAAATTACAATGGAGATGAATGGAAATGTCCACTGCACTATTGTGCGTGTGCATTAAATTAATTTGTGTATATGTTTTTCTACACATATTTCTTCACATAGCAATCCACACACTTAACCGTTAAAGCTTTAGTAATTTTGCTGTTTTTCTCACTTTTATTAGTTTTTAAAAAATATCTAAAATTCTAGAATTATTTTAATTTGATTCATTTCAAAACATTTGACTTCATGACATTTTACATTTGTATGAATTTCCATTATTTGTAAAGATTTTATGACTTGCATTTTAATGGCTTTTTATGACTAATCATTGTAAACCACACAAAACTGAAACAGGGTTATTATCGTAATTAAAAGTAAAGTAAACTTGAAACAAAATAAACATTATCTGAAATAAAATATAAAAAACGTAGTTATTTTAATTTAATGATACTTTATTTATCTTTAAGTACTAAAATAATCCAAACTAAAAAGATTAAAACGAATAAATAAAAATGTAAAGAAAAAAGAGACGCATATAGACATATAAAAAAAAAACTAATAAGAATTACAAAACAACAAAATTACTAAAATGAAAACAGAAAATATAAAAGAAAAATATAAAAAAGATTTTGGAGATCGATTAATAATAATGTTAAATATCAACTATGTTTTTATGGATGGCCAAAAAGTGTCCGACCCAGTTCTTCCTCTTCTTCCTGTTTGTGTGTAGGTTTATAGTGTTCATGTCCTATCAGATGTATTATGACTACCCACCGCTCACATACCTGGAGTATCCCATCCTCATTGCACAAGGTGAGCACAGCTGACAGACCAGACTCTGATGCTTAAGCACTCCAAATCCAGTCTCAGCTGTAATTTCAATCTTGTGTGTCCACAGATGTCATTGTGCTCCTGTTAATCCTGCACTACAACAGGAACATGAAACACAGCCTCATATACGCAGCCCTGTATCCTTCAGACCCATGCTGTCTGGTTATGCTATTCATCGGAGTCAGAAATAATATCCCAATAGCAATCAAAACCTGGCCAAGTTAAAATAAAAAAATATATATATTTAATGAGGTTTTGATGGTATGATGGTTTTCATTCCTTTACTGTAAGAATCAGGTTTGTGGGTGGATGGCAGTTGCTTACAGCACAGAAGTGGGTGATTGATCTGGCCATGGTGAGAACATGCCACTACTGATCCATATGCATTTGCATTAGTGTCATATATAGATGTATTAATGGATTCAGATTAAAGGTAAAGCATTTTTTGCAATTTCTCGGGAGGGGGGGGGGCATTTGACATGTTTCAAATGTCTTCGAAACATTTGAATGGTAATACGTTTTTTTTGCCATTGTCTCTCAGAGTTTGTGCACTGTCATTAGTGCTGGCAGTAAACTGGCACAGCTTCAGTGTCTGTGGCGCTCAAAGGACTCTGGGCAGGTCAGCGCTCTCACCTGGGCTCTGGCCACATATACATGCCTGGGTAAGTGACACAAAATAAAACCTAAGCATTTCTCCAGTCTGTCATATTGATATTGTTTGCTCTGTTGGTCAGCACGGATCTTCACCACCGTCATCACCACAGGAGACACACAAGGTCAGTAAGAGCTTCCTGATGGGATGTGAACTGAAGTGTTGATTGTCATCTTTATCTTTCATTTCTTTCTTCTCCAGTTCTCATACGGTTTGTTGTCATGAGCATTCTGAACATGTGGGTCACAGTCACAGTCGTCTACTACAAACCTCATGCAGTGAAACAGGATTAAGGGGATGCAACTTTCTGCATACAGTTTATCTCAATGTATTCTGTCTGCTGTTGGATTTTTTTTTTTTTGAAGAACTAAACTAGATTAAGGTCAGGTGCTATTTGGATGTAACACATTTAAAATATTTAAGGTTTACTGACTTTGGGTAAGTGTGTACAACCAAAAATCTTACAATGCTCTGGGTTTCCCAGTTTAGTGCTTGCAAGCCACTTTTTTGTTGAAAATTTAAATCTTAGGTGTGCTTTATTTATATATATATATATATATATATATATATATATATATGTGTGTGTGTTTATTTCAA